CACACACACACACACACACACACACACACACAGAGTTTTGTATGACATTCTCTGCAGTGACACAGACACACTACACATCATTGTCACAGTGACAGAGCCGACACCTGTGTGTGCCGACAGTGTGTTCAGGTATCCTCTCACTCAGAGTTAATTGAAAAAGCAGCGCCACAAACAGAGGAGAGTCCTGTGGGGTTTGATTTGAAAAGCAGGTGGAGGCTTCAATAAAAGAGGTTAATGGAGATGAGACCTGATGGAGGAACGAGGAGACATCTCTATTAGTCTGGAAAACAGGAACATGCTACTGTCTGGGTCGCAACAAAAGTATTTCAATCAGTAATTTAGCTATCTGTGTTCAATGAACTAATAATCATTTAGTTTCTCAAATGTCAAACATGTGCATCATGCTAACACATATTAACAATAAATGACCAGAGCGCAAACACAAGTCTAGCATGGCTTTCAATGAGTCTGATCAATGATCAAAAGTCTGACACTAGGTTTAGAAGAAATTGACATTTCATGTGTAATAAGATTTGTCTTGTTTTTTATAAATGTGCCTGATTGTATGTTGCTGGTTTAAGTTGTATCGGTTTACCCCATATATTATTATTATTTTTGTATTTGTGGAAATTGTTGCTGGGTTGACTTTTTATACATGCCTTGAAAACATAAAAAGTGCTATACAAATAAAGGCTATACTTTTAATATATTTTGTACATAGGATCAGATATTTCCTGTTTTCACAATAGAAAGATTTCTGTAAATGAGAATGATGAATTGTTTAACCATGGTAAAAAGCAATACGATTTAACTTAAAAGCGTACATTTCTGATCATTTGCACAGCCCGAGTTCAGAAGTAAAGAAGAATAAATGGGGTAGTCATTATGTACAGCTAATTAAACTGGTGACTATAGTAATAGTAACTAAAAGCAAGTAGCTCATTAGAAAGCAGTGCGCTCAGGAGACAAAGGAAGATAATTAGCCAATGAGAGCGAGCGTACAGGAGTGAGTGAGTGCATGAAGAGGAGAGGCTCTGAGCTTTTATTGCTCACGTGCATACACACACGCACACACGCCCACACACGCACACACACACACACACACACACACACACACACACACACGCACACACACACACACACACGCAGACACACTCACACACGACTTGCGCATCACCAGACACTCCATCTTCACTGTCCACGCTTATTAAATACGAGGACATAAAATTAATTAACAGCTTAATCACTCACATGTACCCAAACATGCACACACCGCTCTAAAAGGACAAGGCAGGTACAACCTTTTAATTTGAGGAATAATTTAATAATGTTCAACCAGGCTTACGGCCATTCTCACTCTCTTTGTCCTCCTTTGTGTGTGTGTGTGTGTGTGTGTGTGTGTAGTGTGTGTGTGTGTGTGTGTGTGTGTGTGTGTGTGTGTGTGTGTGTGTGTCCTAGCTTTTTTTCATTAATTGGCCAAGATGGAGGGATTGAAATCTGTGGCAGAATCATCTGTTCCTCTGTGTGTTGTACTGTCTGTTAATGAAGCTCCTCTCTCTGTCTGTGTCTGCCGGTCATTTGTCATTTCGGACGGCATGTCCTCCACCATGAGGCATTTGTCTAGCCTGGAAAAATGATGGGCTGGCTGTCCACACATCGTATCTAGACAGTGCATACACATAAGGGCACACACACACACACACACTTTACATCAGCCTGTACATGAATAGGTATTTTCTATAAATGTGTAGTGCCTCTTAAGTGCCACTTGAACTTTTATTGTTTTCATTCGTTTCTATCCTAAGAGCAGTGAGTCCAGTGTATCACACAGGAGTCCTATTTCACATTTTGTGTAATATTTCAAATAATCTGTTCCAAAACACTTTGTCATAACCATCTGAGACTTGGTGCTTGTTGGTGTAGTTTATTGTGATATAATTACTCCCCCCATTAACTACATTCTTATTCATGATCTATTGTTGTCAGTATTCTGCTGCAGCGACTCTATTGCCCCACAGGGATCATTAAACAAGGTCTTATCTAATGTGAGAGTAAAGCGTTACAATAAATCTCGTCATTGTTTTTCTACTCATGTAAATACAGTCTCTATCAGTCGGAGTGTATTTGAGATACTTGAAACACCGAGTGGTTTCACTTCAAGTGCTTTTGTTCGCTTTCATTCACACAACAGCCTGAGAGCCACAGTCTGAAAGTGAATGTTAAACACTTGACTTTAGGAAAACCATTGACTCTGAAACTCACATTAAAGTAAACAGGAGCGGGAAAGAGACACTTGTGCAAAGTGGTTTGATAAAACCCCATGAGGTCACTGATAGAGGACAAGGAATGGCAAGAACTTAAAATAACATCAGGACGTTAAGCTAGGATGAAACACCTCAGTGAACCAGCAGTAATTCACAAAGTCAGTCATTCACATTTCACAGGCTTTGGATTTTCTCAACATACTATACCGTGTGCCAACCTGCACCGGCTACCAGAGAGTAAACGA